TTATAATAAATGCAGTTATTTCTTTATTATTATCTGCAAGTTTCCAAAGATATTATTTGATAGTGCATTCACTAGACCCATTACTAGTAAGTAATGGATGACTTTAACTTTCCAAGAAAATTTTCCAAAAGCACAATGTTAACATTCTTCCAGTTCGACTATCCCTAACTTTTTCATTTAATAAACAAAATATTCAGTTAATTTTTAATGTTCTCAATTATTTTATACATTCCAACACTTTTTTCTTTTTTTACAGGGTTTCGTCTGGTCGAAAACAGTTGCCACAACGACGAGACGGGTAGCGTGTATTCCATCTACAAGCAAAAAATCGACTCGATGTTCGAGTCGGACTCCAGCAGCGCGAAGAATAGCGTTCAGGCTAAAATAGAGAAAATGTTCAGCGACGTGGCGAAGGACAACGGCATCCCCATGAACGACATAGGCGTGCACAGTTTTTCCGTCGACTATCTGGGGTCCGTGCCCCTGCAGGGGAAGGTGACCAGCCTTTCGGGACTGCAAGGTCCTCTTAAAGATCTGTACTTTGCGTATAAGAAAACCACGAGGACAAAGAAAGCGTTGACGGGACGGTTGGAGATATCGAATCTTGGATTGAAGGTGTTGTACCAGGGAGAAAAGGGTAAGTTTTCGAAAATATCTTCTTAAAAAGGAGTTTTTGCATTTTACATCTTTTAAATACAGGGTGAACGGACGTAAATTATTTTGAGTCCAATATATAATAATTGTGCCAGATATACCTTAGTCCACAATTTCTTCATTTCCAAGTTACAGGGTGTTTTTTAAACACTACAAATACACATATATCTTGAAATATATTTGACATAGACTAACGAATCTTGTGTAAAATTTTGATTTTAAAACATCCCATCTGGAAAATATAGGAATTAAAAATGAATAATTTGTTGTATTTTTAATTAATTCTGGATAGCTCCAGCTAAATGTAACTGGGCACGTAACTATCTTTAAGGTAAATTTTGAGTGACTTGCGACTTACCGCAGATTTTCCGGGGTCTTCCCTGTTGCAGAGAGCCCTCAGTCTTCAGTCCGGAGTGGAAACGGGATGAAACAAGATTGCGGCACACTTCAATTTAATTAAAGCGAAAGTATGGTATATCAAATAGCGGCATTCGTGAAAACCCGCGATTAAGCGTGAAAATAACTAACGACTCGAACCTCTACTCTTCGTCTTCTGTAGCTATGTGTGTCGCAAGTCGGTATCGCGCAAATTAGACAAAAAAGAATAAAAAATTGAACGGAATAGCGGGTTATTTTAAATGCAAACTAAACTAAGGTTAAAATTAATTAAATTAAAACTACTATAACGAATACTGAACAAAAAAAAACCTGAGACACGTCGATTTTGACGTGTCTCAGGAATCGAATCCTGTGACGAATCTTTTTTTAAATTGCAGTATTTTTATGCTCTTTTAGTACATGTAATAAAATACTAAAAAAATATAAATTAAGGGCGTATATAATTTTAAAACTAAGGAATTTTTTTAAATTATTTCCCTTTGCTATAAAAAATGCATTTTTTTGAAAAAAAAAAAGGGAATTCGATAGCGTTTTGTTAAATTTCCCAATAAAAAAATTGGCGCGATTTCGGGTACAGCTCAGATTTGTATAGATCTTTAATTAGTTAATTTGTTTATAAGGCCATAACTCGCGAAATAATCCACTTACGGATTCCGGCTTTCGCATAAATTATTTGTGTGCAATGAAGAATGATTGAGTATTATCCGAAGAAGCCTCTGTGATAATATATATTTATTATTGTTTATTTAAAATGACATAATTGGCGGTTTTTTACAAGTAACTTTTGACCGGATTGATATTTTTTGTCACTCGTCGTTTTGTAGATCTTTTAGATACGAACAAAAAAGTATTTTTACCATTTCTCTGTAGAATCGTAAGCAAAAAAGTTACAGTCGAAAAACGCGAATTTCTATTGTTTAATCAACTTTTAAACAATGTCGCCCGTCTTTTTCAGCGTGCGGATGAGGTACATATTATTCTCGACTATTTTTACTATCTACTCATAAAAAGTCAGCTTGACCGAAGAATTATGCATGAAATGGTCATTTTCGAGCTAGATTTCTTGGTATATGGGAAATAAAAAGTGATATGTATTACTTTTACATATTAGTATATTCTAATTTAACACCCTGTATATTTTTACGTATTTGAATAGAACGCTTCCTTATAATGTAATCCTAAGAAAGGATCCTACCAGAATATGTACCAACATACAGAGTGTTCAACTTAAAAAATCGAAATTGGCTTTGTTTCTTCACTTTTTGACATTCATAAAAGATAACGTGGGAAATTCTTTAAATAAATTTTCGCACATTTCTGCATCCACTCTTTGGAAAAATCAGAATAATAAAAAAACACTTTTCAAACTACAAGCATCATAACAGTTAACACATACTTTTTCGCATTTTTACATTTTGTATTATTCATTTTTTCCTTATTTCATTTCTATTCGTTAAATTTTCTCCTCAATATTCCTTTCATTCCTTTCATTCAAATACAGTATGGTCCTAAGAGACAGTTTCATTTAGGATTCCAACAAATTGTGGTGTCAAAATATTAGGAATAAAGAACTGCATTTTGAGTGAAGTCATATTTTAATTCTTCGTCAAACCTAATATACCATTTTCTATGAAAAAAAAAGTTTTTTTATCAAAAGCCACCTTCTTTAGAATGGATACATGGTACGAGTAGATACCAGATTTCTCTCAAAAGAAAAACATTTAAATCGACTGACCGAAATTTTATCTGCATTTCGACACCAAAATTATCAAATCGAATAATTAATTATAATAAATGCAGTTATTTCTGTCACAGCGTTAATTTTTTTTTCAGTTTGTGAACAACATTCTTTGCAAATATTTTTATGGGAATTAGTGTTTACCCATTTTAAAGGATACCGGAAACAGTGGCGTAACATCATTTTATAAGAGATCTGCCTAGACTTCTTTCATTTTTTGAATATTTTACTATTACTACTGATATAATAGTTTGAATATCCACTCTAAATTTGCTCTAACCGAATCATATGACAATTAAAATGATACTATACAATTACTTTAAAAATATTTTTTTTATATCCGTAATACTGTCATCAAATATATTAACAAAGCTGTTCCTGGATAGCAATATAATTTTGACAAATACTGGAAAGAGTCGAAAACTTCTGAGCATTTGTTCGTGGCGTAGGAAGATAAAATACCCTCCAGTTTCGTGTTCCAGATTTAATATGTGTTATATATTTGGATAATTGTCATTATTACGTACTACCTACTCCATGTGGGAGTATTAAGGAACAAAGTTTCCTTTTGTTAGACTAAGGAATGAAAATTTATCCATCAGTTCCTCTTGATGAATGTCAGTATGTGGATATACGTTGTCAGTTTTTTAAATTAAAAGTTTTAGATTGCGACGCTCAATGTTTTCAATGCTACTGGAATATTTACTGATAATCTAAACAAGCGACCCATATTCAAGCCTACGTTTTACAAATTAATTGCAAAATAAATTAAGTAAATCAATATATTCAAAACCTCTAGAAAATGTAATTAAAAAACCTAGATTTTTATAAGAAGTGAAAACGATATTCTCAATATAACTACTGAAAGTAATTTTAAGTAAAACTGTACATCTAAGTCAGCAAGACTTCTTCATTTAGATTATAATTAAATAGTCCGCCATTATTTTTATAAAGGATTATCTGATCTAGTAATTTCACAATTTTTTATTAGGACAAAATCTAATAACCTATCATTAATATAAACAATATTCCATTAAATTAACTGGCCTGTNTTGATCGGGTAAATAGAAACTCTTTGACTGTAAATGATAATGTATCATCAGGGCTCTTAGTGAACGTAAACCTCAAACCTCTCAATATCCGTAAAATATCGCTCTCAGAAAAAGATTAAACAAAATGAGCTGCATTGTATGAGTCATATGAACTTGGAACATAAACATCTTTAGAAAAGAAACAAAGCAAAAACGTTGATAATATCTTGTGCATTATTATATTCTGCACCAAGATATGTCACAACCTGAGGTAGGTACATAGAATTAAACCAAATCGGATATTTACTAATGTTAGGGGTAGATTTCGGAACACATAAACTGAAAAGAGTTGTAAAATTGTTCACAAATAGAACTAGTATCTTCAAACTGTAATAAAAATAACCAATCCTTAACTGTTAAATAACCAGATAAACCACAATAATTTGTTTTTCTAAAAATTAAGTGTCAGTAGAACTTAGGTCTGTAATGTTCTTTTTGATATCCTTCAGATATAAACATATTTTCAAGAAATAGTAGTGAATATAAATATTTATAAAGGATTATCTGATCTAATAACTTCGCAATTTTTTATTAGGACAAAATCTAATAACCTATCATTAATATAAACAATATTCCATTAAATTAACTGGCCTGTTCAAAAAAAATTCAATAAAGTAGCTGTTTTTATAATAAAGGCACACAAATTAATCTTAAATGTGTTTAGAATTATAATAATATTTTCTTATGCAAAATAATTCGTTTTGCATTCTCGTTTATCCAAGAAAAAAGTTAAACAAACACGGGATCATTGAACATAGCGGTTATATTGTGTTGAAAATAGAAAGTACAGAAAATTCTCAAATAAATTACAGGCTGGCAGCAATGCCTTGAATAATGTATGAAAAATTCACTATACATTATTTAGAAGGAATACATATGCCTACGAATGGATTTGAATCAGCGTTAGGGAATATCAGACGTCACATCTGGCCACACCCTGGTTTTACAAAGAATGGAATCTTCGCTGCCTCGAGTGATTTTCAAAAAAGTTTTCAAGTAAAAACACTATTTTCAATCAATTATATTAAACTTAAATTAACAAATTTTAATTAATTTCATACAGGGCATAACAGTGATAACACAAACTTTAAATGGAGGTAAATAGTAACTTCAGATTTGTCCTTTAAAAAATCAGAAGTCTGTATCTTAACATTTTTGGACAAAGGGTGTCCCAAAACTAACGTAGGATTTGAATTGCGCGCCATTTTCATTCCGAAGGGTTGGCAGCATTGTGCAGGCTTATATGTTGTAGTAAATACATTGTGGTTAGACAAAATGGAGCGTTATACGACGGATGAGAGAGTGAAGACTGTAAAAATCCTTTACAAAAAAGAACAGACCAATCACAGCAACAACAGCGTAAACTCCAAACGACACTATCACTCTTTGGGTATACAGTGGTCGTTCTTGAATTACTCGAGGATTGTCTGCTCCAAATTCGAGAGTTTTGCTTGTTCACATACCCACTAAGATGGAAATGCACCTCGTCACTAAAGACGATTTTTTAGCAAAATCACCGTTCACTTGTTGATTCTCCAATATCCAATCAATGATTGTTCAGCACATTAAATGGTCGTCTGGTTTCAATTCCTGGGTGAGCTGAATCTTGAATGGATGCAAATGTAGATCTTTTAAAATTCGCTACATTGTGATTTGTTCAAATTTGGCAATTAATCTTTTTAGTTGTTTGATTGGAGGTGTTCCTTCTACCGAAAATTCCACATACTTTTGCACATTTTCAGCTACACACTTTCC